TTTACCTTTTGTGAAAGTTGAGAACACCGTGATGCTATTGCTGAGAGTCCCTACAAGTCTCCCTTATCCTCATCAGCTTCCTTCTTCTCTCCTTCCTTCTTCTCTTCTTCCTTCTTGGCATCTGCCTCTTTTTTTTCCTTTTCCGCTTCTTCCTTCTTGCGCTCCTCCTCGACGGTCTTCTTCACCATCTCCAGCACCTCATTCACATCATCGCCAATGATGATATCCCGAAAGATGCTTCCCGATTCCACCTGCCAGACATCAATACCAACGTGTGCGAGTGGCTCCCGCACCTTATACAGTTCCTTATCTTCCTTGTACTCCGGGTTTGGAATCATGCGTGGGGCCCACTCTCCCTTGTAGGCGGGGTTTGGAATCCGCTTGGGGTGCCACTCGCCCTTCGCATTCGGGTTTGGCACCATCGGCGCCTCCCACTCGCCGTCCTCCGCGTCGTCCCAGTCGTCTGGCCGCTTCGCCTCCGTGTCGGGAATCATCGCGGGTTCATTATCCCAATCGGCCGGCTTCACATCGTTGGGGTCGACAATCGTCGGCTCATCCACCCAATCCGCCGGCTTCACATCACTGGGGTCGGCGATCTCCTTCGCGGGCAGCAGCGACCAGTCCTCCTCCAGTGTGCCCTTCATCCGCTCCTGGCCATCTAAGTAGAAGGAGTAGCTGTTGTCAGGGGCAATGCGCAGGGTGTAGGCGTGCGTGATGCTGTCCTCTGGGTAGCGGAAGTTCTTACTCCACTCATGATTCACACCATTGTAGTGCAGGATGATGTGAACCTTATTCTTGCTTCCACAGCGATCCGGGCCAAACATCAGCCAGTACTTGCTCTCACCATTAAACTTGGTAGGGTCCATCGCCGGCAAATACTTGAGGTAGGCACCACCACACTTAAGGTCCTGCTCATGCTTCACAACAAAAGAGAAAACAAGTTCCTTGTTCTCATTCGATATGGGAGTTGGAAATTCTGTGGAAATGGCATAAAAACGGGCATCCTCTGTGAGGCGCAGTCCCTTCTTGTTGCTTGATCCTTCAGGCTCATTTTTACCAGCGGAGAGCTCCACCTTGCCATAATCATCACGCTCTTTAGACTGAACCCACTTGTCAAGGCTGCTGAAATCTTCATGGAAAAGAATTTTGCCATTTACAGAGACCAACATGCTGAGGCCGAGCAGGGCGCACAAAAGAACAATTGCGCGCATCTTTTCTTTTTGCTTATATATTGCAATAGTAAAAACAACCAATAGCAAAAAAAAAAATAAAGGTTGGTTAACCCTTGCAATATATTCTTTTTTCTTGTAAAGTAGAGATTAAGTGTTTCTTGGGCTTGGAATTGTTTTAAAGATTTTCTAACAGAGTCAATATATATATTTTTTAATAAAGGGAAAGAAAAAAGAGAGAATAATAAGAGAATATGGATGTATATATGTATATATGAAAATCAAAACATATATATATATATATATCATAAGAATAATATAAAAAAAATTAGTGTCATGGAAGAAAAATAAAATACCATATCAAGGGTATCCTTATGAGACGTTAGCATGGAATCCACACACACACACAGAGATATATATATATAGTGGGTGGGAGAGTTTATATAATATAATATATAGAAATCTATATCATAGCAACGCCAAAAAGTGTAGCTAAAAAAGAAAAAGAGGAAAAAAAAAACACAGTAGAGAGAAAGAAGAAAGCAGAAACCCTCAGACCTTCTAGTAGCAATAGCGATCCAGCCAGTGAGGACGTTCAGAAATATCACGAGGGCTACGATGTAGAGCACTACTACGCGACCGACCACCCAACACGGTAGAAATTCCACCCAAAGCACTTGAAGATCTTTCTCGGACTTGCGATGGTGTTCGCATCTCTCGCTGTGGTAATAAATGTTGAAATAAAAAGAATGTCTCATCACGGCGTGATTCAGTCATTGAAGGTGTCCTTACAGTCCCTTCTGCTGCTGCTGCGAGTGTAGAAGGCACTGGAGCTGGACTACTGATGTTGCTTGTATTCTCTTGTATGTATAGTCCTCGACGTTTTAAAAGTTCTTGCTCTATTAAAGGTCGTACAATGTCCTTCATGCGATTTCGCAAAGCCTGCTTTACAGTAGAACGTACATGTTCACGTAATTTAGACTCATAGGATGAGAGTAATGCGGACTCATCCTGCATAACTTTATGGGCCACACTTTCCGTAAAGGAAAGGATATCCTTTGTACGTGATTCTTTTAATTCTTCAAGTGATTTCTCTACTTGCATTAAGAGATTCTCTCCACGATTTACAATCTTGGCAAGTTCTGCTTCTGTATGGACACTTAAACTCATCACACTGCGTGCCGCATTACTTTTCCATTCTTCTGATGCCTTCTGAAAGGAGTCATGCATCTCTTGCAGCAGAGACTCTTTGAAATCCAATGTTTCCAAAAAGTTCATTGTATCTACTCCTCCATCCCTTTTCATATTCTCCATATTAGCAGCCTCCGCAACAAGTTGTCTCATTTGTTCCTTTAACTCAGCAATCTCTGCATCCGATTCACGTTTAGAACATCTATGAGCCTCCTTTACGCGAGCTAATTCATTCTCATAAATACTTCGTGTTTCATCCAGCTCTTTTTGAAGTCGTTGAATTGTGCGATCACGTAATTCTAACTTTTCCTGCAATGTTACTGCAGATGGATTATCCTCTATTATCATTGGAATATAATCCCCTTTATTTGCATTGTTGGATACTTTTATAGAAGATGATGCTTCTTCTCCTCTCATTAAATTTTCAGAAAGAGCACTATTAGAAACGGTATTTGTTTTTATGTTATTTGATGACCTAACTGTACTGTAGTTTCCACCAAGAAGTGATAAAGACTTCATAGCCTCCTGAAATTCCAACTGTGCTTTTAGTGACTGCTGTAAACGATACTCTTCTTCTTTACTCCACCGTGTTTGAAAAGACAAAAGAGATTCCCTCTCAGGAGCTTGTTTTAATTTTGTTGTTGTTGTTAATGTTGTTTTTCCCGTTGTTGTGTCTGTTACTACATTATTCCCTGCTGGTTTGTTAGTCTCTGATTGGTTTAAGTATTGTCGTAACATGGGGTTGCTGCGCAGTTCATGAAGTTGCGCTAAAATGATATCGCCACTACGCACATTTTGATTTTCTGCCATGCGATGACTAACATCTTATATAAAAAGAAAAAAGTAAATTAAATATATATATTTATTTATTTTTTGTCCATTTTGAGGAAGATAGAAAGAGAAGAAACAAGAACACACATTCTCTCACAAAGGAAAAATAAAAATAAATATAATTAATATCAGAATAAAGCAAAGATAAAAAAAGAAAAAAAAAACAAATGCATGTAATTTGAACGCTGATCATACATGTATAACAGTACAGCATAAAGCAACGTTCAGAGTATTTATCAGGATATCTATTTCCTCGTACTTAGAAGCATACGCTGAACTACGTAGCTGTTTTCCTTTTTTTTTTTCTTGTTCTATTTTTCTTTTTTTTTT